CCACAATGACGCCGTCGGCATTGCCTCCGGGTTGATTTCGGAATAGCCGTACACGCCGGGACGCACGGCTGAGTGTGCAGGACCGCCGGCATTGCCGCCAGGCTGTGTCCAAGTGGACGAAACTTCCGACGTTGACAAAATCAGCGCCCGCAATGTCGCCAGGCCGTGTCTTGGAGACGCGTGCCTCATAAAGAAGGCGTGTAGGACCGCCGCCATTTCCGCCGGGCTGTCCTGGAGGTCAGAACCTCCGACGAGCCTGATGAAAACGAGGGCCAGCAAAATCGCTGGACCGTGACCTGGAGCATGTTCCTGGAAGGGGGGAAAAGTACAGGACCGCCGGCGTTGCCGCCGGGCTGTGCCCTGGAGGGCAGAACCTCCGACTTGGACATGGTTCCGCCAGCATGATCACGGGGCCATGTCCTCGAGGACATGCCTCGCACCCCAGGAAGTGAGAATATGCAAGGCCGACGGCATGGCCGCCGGGCTGTGTCCAGGAGGTCTGACCCTCCGAGTTGGCCAATGAAGAGCAAGCCATCGACGTTGCCGCGGGGCTGCCGACGGAAAAAGGCGCCTGCGCCAGGACGGACGGGTAGGCGTGCAGGATCGCTGGCATTGCCGCCAGGCTGTGTCCTGGAGGGCGAGACCTCCGACGTTGGGTAATACAAGAAGAAGGGGCCGGCACTGTCTCCGAGCCGTGACCGAACCTACAGAAGGGCGGGGCCACGGGTCCACAAGGCCCATCTTGGAGCGTCGGCTATAGCGACGCGTGCGCAGGGGCCCCCGGGCGGGGGCCGAGCGCCCGCCAGAACGTCGGACCGAATGGAAGCTTCACCGAGGGCCCCCGAGTGCATCCTGCCAAAGGTGGGCCAGAATACGAGCCACCGGCCTAAGAATCAGCGTTGAGCCACGCGGCGGCACTGAGGAGGGGGGAAGGAGTAGGGATGAGGTTGGGGAGCTCATCCTCGTCCTCCTCGCTCCGGGGCGCGGTTATCTTCATTGGGCACCTCTCTGGCGCCTTTGCTCGCAGGGTGCAATGCGCCGCGGAGCCGCCAGCCACAGTGAACCCGCCAGCATTCCATTGCTCCCCGTGTTCCAGCGCGTTGGGCGCACGATGCGTGCGAGCATCCCTCGAATCCTCCGAGGTCGAGGGGAGGCAGGAGGAGCGAGGAGAAGCTTTGGAGGTTAAGGCTAACGCGGCGCGTGCACGCGCGGGCCGTGAGACCCGCGCAGCACGAGTGGGTGGCATCGCCATGCCGGCTTGGCGTCTTGGGGCCAGCCCGTGGCGCGAGCTTGATGCAACCGCGCCCGCGCGCCGCGCAGCAGCCTGCGAGTCGACGTCGACGAAGCGCGCCCGCGCTGGATCAGAGGCTTCGGCCCGACGCTGCTGGCTCGGGCGGGCCATCGCGCCGCGAAGCTCGGCCTCGCCGCGAGACGCATCGGGCGCGGCTCTCGCGGGCGCTCCCCCCCCCCCCCCCCCTCCGCGCGGGGCGCCGCGAACGCCGTGGGCCATGATCCAATGGCTGCGCATAGCGCACGCGATTGAAGGGCGCAGCCAGCATCCGCGATCCCGAATCGAACCAAATAGGCAAATGTCGGGCGGATCGGGCCCGTCGTCAGGGAGGTCTTGCATCTGCGCAAGCTCGACAGTGCTCGAGTTCAACAATCAAGCGGCGTCGACCCCCCTCCGGAGGGCCGCGCCCCGCCTGCCATGGTCAGAAACTCCAGCGTGGAAAACCGCGGCCGGCAGCATCGCTGGACCGTGTCCTGGACGCGTAATTGTCGCAACGTAACGAGGGGCAACTGCGGGGCCGCTGGCGTGGCTGCCGGGCTGTGCCCTGGAGGGCAGAGCCTCCGACGTGAAGATAGCTCCGCCAGCATTGACACCGGCCCATGTCCTGGAGGCACATGCCTCGCGCGATGGAATTAATGCGAATGTGCAGGACCGCCGGCATTGCCGCCGGGCTGTGTCTTCGAGGTCAGAAGCTCTGACTTGATCGACTGAAGAACAACCTCCGTCGGCACTGCGGCTGGGCTGCCTGCAGCAAAGGCGCATGCGCCAGAACCGACGGGCAGGCGCGCAGGACCGCGGGCACTGCCGGCGGGCTGTGTCCGAGAGGGCAGAACCTCCAACGTGTCGACTGGCAAAAAACGGCGCCGGCACTGTCGCCGGGCCGCGCCCTGGAGACGCGTGTCTCGTAAAGAGGGCATGTAGGACTACCGGCGTTGCTGCCGGGCCGCGCCCTGGAGGTCAGAACTTCCGACGTGCCGCATTGAAGAAATGGCCGGCAATATCGCTGGTCCGTGACCTGCGAGCACGCGCCTCGGAAGGGTAAGTACAGGACTGCCGGCAGCGCCGCTGGGCTGTGTCCTGGGGGGCAGAACCTCCGACGCGAAGATAGCTCCGCCAGCATTATCACTGGGCCGTCCTTTTGTAGTTGGAGACTTTGGGCGGGCATCTTCTGGGCATCGGCAATATTATGGCATCTGCCAAGGATGCCCGCTGCCCCCCTCTTGTTCACAATCGCAATGACCGCGCTGCTCACAGACGCTTACACACTGCTGCGCGAGAAGCTCGGCGAGATTCTTGCGGGGCGATGTGCCAGGGAGCTCGTTTACTCTGATGACACTCTCCAGTGGCCCGACAATATCCAGGTGTTGATGCGCAGCATAGAGCATTGCGGAGCACATTATGGCCTGAAATTCAATGGGAAGAAATTTGAGTTCACGGGCGTCAGATCCGCCGCTGGCATACTGAACAATGAGGGGGTGCCGTTCGACAACGAGCAATCGCTCATTTATCTTGGTACATCTCTGTCTGCCGACGGCAGGGTCGGGACTGAACTCGGCCGCCGCTGAGGGGGGGCCGCGAGAGACTTCAAGACGCTTGATTCCATTTGGCCGCATTCCAGACTCAGCAGGGCGCAGAAGATTCGCATATTCAATGCTTACGTTGTTCCGAAGCTGACATGCTCATTGTTTGCCGCATGCTTGAACAAAGCGGAGCGGCGGAGGCTCAATAGTTTTCAGAAACGCTGTTTACGGAGGATTTGCCATGTACCGCCAGCCTACATGAGTCGAGTGTCCAACGCTGCTGTGCTCGAGATCGCTTCTGAAGAGCAGCTCAGCGAAGGACTCGCCAGAAGACAAGTGATTTTCATGGCGGAGTTGGCCAGGCGACCAGCGGATGACCCTGTGAGGTGCTCGGTGTTTGAACCAGGCACCATGCAGTTGCGCAGGCCGACTGGTCCGCGGAAACGAGGCAGACCCCGACAGACGTGGGGGCATCTCGTAATGCGCAATTGCATTGAAGTTGCCGGCTCACACGCGCGCCTCGCCGACTACTTCCGCCCAGAGGGCGGTGCAGCGCGCGAGTGGGAGCTGGCTGTCAGAAGCCGGAGAGGATGCTGAAGGCAATTGTATGTTTTCCATTTTTTATCATGTTCGCGCACCGTTTGGTGCAATGCTCTACCGGACCTGACCTGGCCATGTCTTGGAGGCGCATGCCTCGCGCAAGGAAATGAACATGCGCAGGACCGCCGGCATTGCCGCCGCCAGGCTCCGAGAGATCAAAGCTACCGACGTGTCGATTGACAAGAACAGCGCCGGCATTTTCGCCGCGCCGTGTCCTGGAGGCGCGTGCTTCATAAGGAAGGCGTGTGGGGCCGCCGGCATTGCCGCCGGGCTGTGTCCTGGAGGTCAAAACCTTCGATGTTGTCTTTTGGGCCAGAATGGCGGCGCCGACATTCAGCTGATGTTGACCTCCCTCAGGAGGGCCTTGCCGAGCCTGTCAAAATGGCGAAATCCGACCATGTCGAGGGCTGCCGCGCTCGCAGCGGCACTGGGGCCGTCAAGCGGCCGCCGAAACGGGCCCCTCAGCGAAAAACACGTGGGGTGCCAGCTGGAGCCAGCTGGATGTGGCCACGTGCATGCCCGAGCATTACCGCTCTGGTAATGGCCATTGGTCGTAGCACGACCTCCCTGGGGAGGGCCGTGCTTGGCCGGCAGGTGGGGCCATTAGATCCCACGCCACTGTCGCCCAGGCACGCGGGGAGGGCTTTAGATGCCCTGGGGGAGAAGTGGGACCGCACTTCACCAGATTGCCCAGTTGAAACACAATTGCCACAAGGAAAACACCTCGAGGTAGGTGAAGATCCCGAGGCGGAAGCCTCGAAGTGAAGACCTCGAGGTGTAGACCTCGATGGGACTGTTCGAGGTGAACGACCTCGAAGTGTAGCCCTCGAGGTAGTGACCCGGAGTGAAGCCACTGAGGCGGATACCTCGAGGTGCACCAAGTACCTCTTGTGCTGGTGTCGCCCCGGCTTCCCAACCCCAGAGGGCATTGTGCAGGTGATCGTCGGGCGTGCGCCTTGCGCACGCCCTTGCTGGCGCCCCATGCGTCCTGCACAACGACCGTCCCCAGGGGTTGCGGAAGCCATCGGCATGGGGAGGAGGAGGAGGAGGTGGAGGAGGAGGAGGAGGAAGAGGAGGAGAAAAAGGAGGAGAAAAAAGAAGAGAAAAAAAAGAAGAAGGAAGAGAACGAGGAGGAGTAAAAGGATGATGAGGAGGAGGAGAAGAAAGTGGAGAAAGAAGAGAAAGAGGAGGAGGAGGAAGAGGAGGAGGCAGAGGAAAGGAGAAGAGGAGGAAGAGGAGGAGGAGGAGGAGGAGGAGAGGGGATGGAGGGAGGAGGGGGCGGAGTGGAGGAGGAGGTGCAGAAGGAAGAGAAGGAGGGGGAGGAGGAAGAGGAGGAGGAGGAGGAGGAGGGAGGAGGAGAGGAGGAGAAGGAGGGGGAGGAGGAGGAGGCGGAGGACGATGATGATGATGATGATGATGAATGAGGAGGAGGAGGAGGAGGAGGAGGAGGAGGGAGGAGGAGGAGGAAGAGGAGGAAGAGGAGGAGGAGGAGAAAGAAGAGGAGGAGGCGGAGGGGGAGGAAGACGGGCCGACGCCCCCCTCGGCGCGCCGGTTCCGCCCACGCCCGCCCGCCTGCCTAGCTCCCGCAGGCCGTCGCGGGGCGCTGAGCAGCGGGTGCTTCCCGCGGGCGCCGCGGCGTCCAGGGGAGGACGAGGCGGAGGAGGGGGCGGGGGTTGTGGAGGAGGAGGAGGAGGAGGAGGAGGAGGAGGAGGAGGAGGAGGAGAAGGGGGCGGAGGGCGGAGGTTGTGGAGGAGGAGGAGAAGAAGGAAGAGAAGGAGGGGGGGGAGGAGGAGGAGGAGGAGGAGGAGGGAGGAGGAGGAGGAGGAGGAGGAGGAGGAGGAGGAGGAGGAGGAGGAGGAGGAGGAAAGGAGGAGCAGGAGGAGGAGGAGGAGGAGGAGGAAAGGAGGAGGAGTAGGAGGAAGAGGAGGAGGAGGAGGAGGAGGAGGAGGACGAGGACGAGGCGGAGGAGGAGGAGGAGGAGGAAGGAGGAGGAGCACGACGACGAGGACGCTCGTCGTCCCTCGCCGTAGGTCGCTCGTTCGCCGCCAACCGACGGTTTGCATGCGCAGCCACCTCTTCGTCATCGTCGCCCTCCACCTCCTCCTCCTCCTCCTCCTCCTCCTCCTCTTCCGCCTCCTTTTTCCTCACAATCAGCATCAGCAGCAGCAGCATCATCATAATCCTCATCATCAGTATCATCCTCATCCTCATCATCATCAGCAGCCGCATCAGCATCAGCATCTGCATCTGCATCTGCATCTGCATCATCATCATCAGCAGCAGCATCATCATCAGCATCATCATCATCAGCATCGTCATCATCATCATCACCATCATCATCTTCATCATACCCATCATCATGTTCAGCATCAGCATCCTCATCATCATCAGCATCATCAGCAGCATCATCAGCAGCATCATCAGCAACATCATCAGCATCAGCATCATCCTTACTCTCCTCCTCCTCCACCACCTACACCTTCTCCCCTTCATTGCCTTCATGCTCCACTTCCTCCCTGACCAGCTGCAGCAGTTTCAATTGTTCGGGAGTCCAGCGATTTCCACACGCAGAGGACAAGGAAGACACGAGGAGAGGGGAGGAGGGGAGGGGGGGCGGAGCTGTCTGGTGGGGGGGCGGGGGACGGGGAGGAGGAGGGTGCAGGGAAATGGGGGACGGCAAGCTAGGTGCGCTCGGGCCATGGTTGACAGTAGACCCTTCCCACTGATGTATTCTCCGACACGTGGTGTCCTACAAGACCTTCATCCCCAACATCACCCCATCGTTCGACGGGTAAACACAAGGGGGGGAGGGGGGCATTGGAGGGAGTTGAGTGGGTGGGGATCATGACGGGACCCCGCGTTTCTGCACGCTTTGATTCGGTCTTCCTCTTCTACACTCGGTATTCCCCCTCCTCCGTTTCCTCCTCCTCCTCCATTTCGTGGTCCTCCTTTTCATCAGCATAACTTTCCTCTTCCGCACGTGGAAGGCTAGTTTTTTCACATCAGACTGCAAACACAGGGAAAGAGGGGAGTTGGAATTCCGACTAGCCCTCGGGGTCATTGCTCGACCCAGGCCCGAGATCGATTGTGACAACATCGAGCTTGGGGTGAAGACCTCGGGCTATGCGATTCCAAGATTGCTGTCTACCCTGGGCCCCCGTTCGGGGGAGAGGGCGGAATTCTCGGCGGAGACCTCGCACCTGTCCGCCGCCAAGGTGAACTTTGCAATGGCGGCGCACAGCAGATAAAAGAGTGGACGCTGGCGTCCAGCGAGGCCACGGTATGCCCGAGCTCCAAGAGCTTCGGGCCGTCGAACCCACGGATCCCGAGCACAGTGGCCCCCGCGGCAGACTCCAGGAGGAAAGGAGGTGTCAGTCACGAAAACCACGTTCACATTGCCAGAACCGACTTTGCCAACTCCAAACAGGGCCGTCAGATTACGGTCTGGTTGACACGGGCATTTTCGCAGGTGCAGCAGCCGGCACATCCAGGCGAGGCCAAAGAGGAATCATGTTACCCGCCAGCACGCAAGCAAGTTTCGACATTCGCAGCTGGCGGGCTTGCTCAGCCGTAGGCTCTGGATGGCGGTCAGCTGCACTCTTAGCTAGCAAGTCGACGGTATCATTGGCGAAATTGTGATGTCTTAATTCGTCAGACACGTCAGGGACGTCAACAGCGTGGACTTTTACATGCGTGGCCGAAACCAGCCCCGTGGGCTGAAGGGTTAAAAAGCTGCTCGTCTCGCGGCGTGTCAAGCTTCCGCATTACATCAAGACAGTCCGAAAAACCTTTAAATTCAGGAGTCGCAGATTGTCCCGCAGCACAGATCGCCAGGAATTCAGTAGCCTGCGGGGTCTGGGGATTTGGCGCCCAAACTGCGGCACTCGCATGACACACTACAATACGGTCGGAATCGTAGCATGTAAAACCCCATCCCCCATGGACAATTTTGGAACCACATGGCCGAAGCAGCAGCCATCGAAGTGGAAATCGACTTGCACCTCAACGTCCGTGCAGTGTTCACGACCTGGTCAGGCAACGTGGAGCTCACCTTCAGACAGAGGACGCGGGTACATCTCATTTGGATGTGCAAAACACGCCTCGGGTAAACAGCAAGTATCACACTTGTCCTAGGACCTGATTTTATTGAGGTTGGGGCGGTGACCGTTCAGCTTCTGAAGGATCTCTCCGCGCTCCTCGTCGCACGCTGGACAGACACACAGATTGTGGACCATAGTGTCGAGGGCATCCTTATAGAAGTCACGGAGGGTATCGGCACTGTTGTAGCCCATCTCTGCCGCAATCCGTTTGGTCCACAGACCCCCGCAACACACGGCGTTGACGCACCATTCTTCAACGGGGCGAACCGCTTTGACTTCAACTGTGCCCTCACCTGGTCGTAGCAAAGCCGACGAACAGCAGGCAGCAGATTGGTAGCGCTGGCCTTCTCCAGCGCACGCACTACGGCGGCGTGCAAAGACCACTCGAGAAAGGCCGGGTTGCACAAGGTCAAGTAGATGTTTGCTCCGAAGTCGTCCGCTACGGTCGAGCATACGATTGAGAAGCTTCCCCGAAAGTTGGGCGAACATTTCTTAGCCAACTTGCCAGAAAGCTGACCCAGTTTCTTGAGCAAGTTCGCCTCCTCCAGCGTTTACAACAGTTGGTGGCCAAGGTTTATTCTGAGAGATTTCCAGGAAGCTGGCCCAGAAGGCCTAAATTCAATTCTTTGCGATCATATGTTCGGCTGTAGCTTAATGAAGGATCCCATGCACCAACTTATCCTCTGAAGGGGCATCTTCATCGCAGAACTAGGTCCCGAAACACGACGACTGGATCCAGGACCAGCTTTACCTTCGGAAACTTTCGCCCATCCTCTACGCAGGTCCTGAAGCGTGAGACTGAAGGGGCAAGGTCGGGTTTGAACAGCCCAGGCCTCGTTTGCGTAACGTACTATCTGGCAGTCTGCTGCATACCATCACGGATCTCGTTCGAGGATCAGGAGGGACGTGAGCGAGCGCTGTCCAGCACTCGGTTGACAGGTAGCTCCAGAAGATCTTCTCGCCGTGGCCTGCTCGTGGTCGGAAAAACTTGTGGCCGCGCCTTCGTATACCAGGCCAGGTAGAGGTCCAGAAACAAATACCCTCTTTGTGAGCCGGCCCAGGGCCTTCTTACGCTGGAAGGAGCGCGTTCCACGGGCGCTTGCACCGGAAACATTCGGCGACGCGCCTGAATTGTGGGGGGACAAACCCCCCCGAACATCCAGCACCGTCGACGAACAGAACCAGGGGGACTCCCCTCCCCCAACCTCCCCGACCCCCCCCCCGCCCTTCGCGGCGCCGGCGGCTGGCAGCGCCGACGGCGGCGACGCGGCGACGATGGCCAGGGCGAAGTCGACGACGACAAGATCCCTTGTAGTCCTCTGTCCTCGGCTCTGAGTGTTGGAATATTGACGGGCCCGGACTTCAAATATAGATATTGTTCGCGTTGCGCCGCGTGCCTCCTGCGCTTTCCGTCGTCGTCGCCGTCGCCGTCGTCGTCGTCATCGCCGTGCTCATGCCGTCCTGGTCGCCGTCGTGGTTGTCGTCGTCGTCGTCGCTGTCGTCGCTGTCGTCGACGTCGTCGTCGTCGCCGTCGCCGTCGTTCTCGTCGTCGTCGCCGTCGTCGCCGTCGTCGTAGTGTGGGTCGTCATGCTCGAAGTCGTCGTGGTCTCGTCGCCGTCGCCGTCGTCGCCGCCGTCGTCGTCGTCGCCGACCTCGTCGTCGTCGACGTCGTCGTCGTGGTTGCCATCGTCGCCGTCGTCGTCGTCGCCATCGCCGTCGTCGTCGGCGTCGTCGTCGGCGTCGCCGTCTTTGTCGTTGTCGCCGTCTTTGTGCTCGTCGTCGTCGTCGTTGCAGTCGTCGTCGTCGTCGTCGTCGTCGCCGTAGTCGCCGTCGTCGCCGTCGCTGTCGTCGTCGACGTGGACGTCGTCGCCGTTGCAGCCGTCGCCGTCGTCGTCGCCGGCGTCGCCGTCGTCGTCGTCGCCGTCGTCGCCGTCGTTGTCGTGGTCGCCGACGTCGTCGGCGTCGTCGCCGTGCTTGTCGTCGTCGTCGTTCTCGTCGTCGTCGTCGTCGTCGCAGCCATCGTCGTCGACGTCGTCGTCGTCATCATCGCCCTCGCCGTCGTCATTGTCGTCATCGCCGTCCTGCTCGTCGTTGTCGTCGTCTTGCTCGTCGTCATTTTCGTCGTCGCCGCCTTCACCGTCGTCGTCGTCGTCGTCGTCGTCGTCGCTGCCGTCGCCGTCGTCATCGCCGTCGCCGTCGTCGTCATCGTCGCCGTCGTCGCCGTCGCCGTCGCCGTGCGTGCAGCGCCGATCCGAGGAAACCACATGGATCTCCGACAGTTCATGTGTGCAGTAAATGCGCCTAGTGAGGACGCGCGCGCCTTCATCTAGGATACCCTTGTGTCCTTGCCTCTGTGGCCTGTCCTTTGTCGTTTTCATCGGTGGCCTGCCGCCCCCCAAAAAATCCAGCCTCGGGCCACAAGGGTCTTGCGTCCCTACCGCCCGTCCTCAATGCACGGTTTGATTGCATGTCATTGTTTGCTCTTGTAAGGTCGGTTGGAGATTTCTCGAGGCTGATCGGTTCGCGCAGCGGCAGGAGCCCCAGGACAGGCCATCGAGGGGGGAGCCTGCCGTGCCCAGATCGATGGGCACGGGCTCTGAGAGCGCCTGCCGCGCCGACGCAGCTCCTCCCGCCTTACAGTCCACTCGTGGCTCTTCGGAAGGACAGTCACGCCTCGCGGCGAAATCTGAGGAGGACGAGGAGGACGAGGAAGCCATGGCCAAGACGACGAGGGAGGCCATGGCCAAAAGGATCATCAGCATGAGAACGAGAAGGACGAAGAGGCTGAGGATGAGAAGGGGTAGCGGGCAGGGAGGGAACGGGGAGAAGAAGGGAGGAGGAGCCGATAGGAGGAGAGGGAGGAGGGAGAATGCGACAGGGTGATCAGGATGAGGAGCTGGGCATCCCTGCGAAGCTCACCAGCGGGGGATAAGCTGACGTGGATACTTCCTATCTGAGCAGGACTGTACGACGGTTGAAGGAACCATTTTACAGCAGTCGCGGGCACCCGCTTAGATGTGTTCGTACTGCTGTTATCCCTCCCATCCCCCTCCCAGCCCCTCTCCGTTCTTCACCCGAGTATTCTCAACGCTCTTGCATCTCCAGTCGGTGCCTAAACATTGTCAGCATTACTGTTCCATCGGCCACTCCACGACGTTCAGAAGCGGGCAGGTCGCGCCTCGAAAAGGAACGTACCGGCGTGGACCCCAAGCAGTATGTTGCTAGCAATCGATGTTGTGCAATATGTGTTGTACAATCGATGTGGTGCAATCTATGTGTGGTGCAACCAATGTTGTGTAATCCACCAGCGTTCAACTTGAAGTTGCCCACTCCACTGCTCGCGCAAACATCCCACCCACCCACCCGCAACTTGGTTTGCAAACCCCATGCTGCGGCGATTGCGATGAGTGCTTGGCGATGGTTGGTGCATCTCTGCGGCCACGACAGCCCGCGCATGCACGCGCGCGCAGCGGCCAGCTACTTTGGCGCGACTGACGCGGCCGCGGTGGCGCTGACCGCTGGGCACATCCCAACGGGCACTTCACTTCGAGTCGGCGACTTGGGCGGGCGCGAGATCATGGCAACGTCGACAACGGTAGACACGATGATGATAGTAGCGATGCTGGTGACGGTGTTGACAATGACGAAGGCGCGGGCAGTGCGGGCGCCGATGCTGATCAACGCCGACGACGATGACGGCGTCTTCGCGGCGGGGATGCAGGTTTTGAAATTAGCTCGACATGCGCGCGCGGCCGACGCGCGAAAGTGGCCCGCATTGTATCTTCGAAAGTCGCGCGCAAGGGCGTGCGAATGATGTCGGCATGCGGCACGAGATGCCCGCTTGGCAGGATTCCATGGGTTGTCTTGAAAACCCGATGGTGTTTTCAAGAATCCGCAAGAGCGCGAGCGCACGTTTTTTTGTGTGTATATATATACACATATATATACATATATAACTGTATTGATGTCGCGAAACCATGTGTGTTGACCCATTTCCAAAGGATTGGGTTCTTGCTGTTACTGATCGCGCGGACACCTTCCTCACACCTCCTCCCCTCTTCCTTCTCTACCCCATTCCATTATGAGTTTGATGATGATAATGGCTATGCCCCATGTCCAAAAGATGGGGTTCTTAGTCCCCATATCCACATGACGGGTTGCTTGTTATGGCCCATATCCAACGGATGGGGTTGTGGTTCCCCATACCCAAAACATGGGTGATTCCCTATTTCCTAAGATGGGTTGTTTGTTATCACTCGGACGCCGCCGGCCCCAGACAGAACACACCTACTCATACACTGATTTACTCATACTCAGACCTACTCATACTCATACCTTCGCATGGTATGAGTTATTCAACACACAACATGCAGGCCTACGCATACTCAGATTTACCCATGCTGGAACTCATGCGTACCCAGACCAACTCATACCCAGACTCGTTCCAAGCCCTGCCCATACACAGACTTATTCACATTCAGACCTACAAATACTCAGGCCTTCTCATAGTCTGAGTTACTCAACGCACGGACTGAGACCCACTCATACCCAGACCTAGTCATACTCAGACTTGCAAGGGGTGCCGCCAGGGGTGTTTTCACTGGCCCGCTCGCGGCCAGTTCGTGGGGATGTCTCATGCGGTTTGCTCGTTGTCATGCCCAACATCCTTGGCTTTCAGAACAGATGCTGAGGATGTCTCAGGCGGGGCGCTGGTTTCAGCACCCCTAAGGGGAGCGGCCAGGGGGTAGGACACGGGCCCGTTCGTGGCCAGTTTGCAGGGATGTCTCACGCGGCCTGCTCGTTTTCATTCCCAACATCCGTTGCGTTCATAGCATATTGTGAGGATGTCTCAGGCGGGGCGCTGGTTTCACCACCCCTAAGGGGAGCCGGCAGAGGTGTTTTCACGAGCCCGTCTGCGGCCAGTTTGTGGGGATGTCTCAGGCGGTTTGTTCGTTTTCCATTCCCAACATCCTTCTGTTTAAACCAGATTGCCAGGATGTTTCCGGCGGGGCGCTGGCTTCATTCAACACCCTTAAAAGGAGCCGCCAGGGGTGTTTTCACGGGCCCGTTCGCGGCCAGTTTGTAGGGATGTCTCAGGCGGTTTGCTTGTTTTCATTCCCAACATCCTTGGTTTCCAGAGCAGATGTTGAGGATATCTCAGGCGGGGCGCTGGTGTCAGCATCCCTAAGGACAGCCGCCAGGGGGTAGGACACGGGCCCGTGCGTGGCCAGTTTGCGGGGATGTCTCAGGCGGTTTGTTTGTTTCCACGCTGCGGGGAAGGATATGAGGCGTGCTGATCCCTTGGGTCGACGAGGCATCAACGATAATACTTGGTGGTTGAACCTCTACGTGATGTTTTCCCGCGCCACTCGGATGGCGGACATGTTGCTGGTGCGGCCGCCGCCTCGCTGGCTTTTGGAGAGAGGTCCGCCAACGTCAGTGAAACGCGCTCTTCGACGATTCGCGTCGTCTGAGGACTCGACGGTGGCGAGGGCCGCCCTACTTGTCGGGGAGTACGGGATAACGCTGCCTGAGGAAGAGTGACGGCCCGTACTCCTTCCGGCCCGATGCCCAGTGCGGGCGGCATTTGTTGCCCAGATGCGACGGTGCCATGTGTAGCACTTGCCTCTGGCGCTGCTCTTTGGATGCTTTGGACGCGGCGCCGCGAGAACTCTTAGCCGTTGAAACACATCGAGCATCGTTATCCCGTCGAAACGTAGTCCGGTATGAATCATCATTGACGCAGTCTTGGCTCGAAGCGGAGGTCGCCCATCGGACCCAGCATCTTTCTATTACTGGACGCAATCTCAATTCTTCGGTCGGAAACGCCCACGCTTAGCACGGCGCCGCGGACGGGGGGAAGACGACGAGGTCTCCAAGGCGCTGGGCGCGGTTCCGCCGACATTCGACAGGTCTTCCTGCGAATTGCTGTAGGAACGGCACCAGGCAGTGCACATCAAGGCTCGACCACTGCGACGTCCACGGGGGCAAGCGCTCCGTTGTCAGCGCAGACGCGCGTTTTGCTCGGGCGCTCGACAGCCTTCTGGCATGGCTGGCTTCCGTGGGCGGAGCTTTGGCTGCCGGAGCAAGTTGCGCAGATCTGGGCACCTTCGCTGCAACGGAGTTGGGCCTGTCGCCCACGGAGACAGAGGTGGCCGTATCTCAATTGCTGGATGACGGCGCCGTTTACGCGACGATCGATAACCATGTCCACGCGCTGGAAGGGCACGGCACTCATTCCAGCGCGGCTGCGAACGAAGGCGACGGCGTCAACGGGGCGCTGGGCGACGCGCGGGACATCGCGGAGGGGGCCGACCAAGGTTCCGACATGGCACAGCTGGCAGATATGAGGTCAGAGACGCAGTGATTCGCGTCGTGCCTCTGGCCCTTCGCCCCGATGCCAAGTGCAGAAGGCTTCTTTTCTGCGTTGCCAGCTAGGCCCGATGCCAAGCGCGGGCGGCCAAATCCGAGGCGCAAACCGCGACGGTGCCATTTGTAGCACTTGCCTTTTGCACGTCATGTACCTGCGACTTCTGTTTGCGTCGCCATCTAGGCCCGATGCGAAGTGCGGGCGGTTAAAGCTGAGGTACAGGTCGCGAGGTGCCGTTTGAAGCACTTGTCATTCGTGCTCCCCTGGTGCTTCGGACGCGGCGCCGAAGGAATTCTTTGCCTTGCCCCAAAAAAGATGCGCGGGCATATGCATGTTAATGAATGCGTTCGCGTGGTGGATGTGAAGCCGCGCTGCGCGCAAGTGTGCTCCCCGCTCGCATGGGCGCGCTCGCGGAGCAAACTACTATCATGGACAAATGCTCACCGTGGCACTACCTTACAACATGGCATGCACATGTGGCCTCGCGTGGCTAAACGCCCGTTTTACAAATCCCACCTGCCAACCATTCTAAAACATATGCGCATTGCCACACGCTGAGGAGGGCACGGCCTGGCAGCTGAGGAGGGGGAATGAATGGGAGGCTCATATTCAATCATACTCAAAGCTCACTCTGACTCATACTCACGCACCCGCATTCGGACTCACTCGTATTCGTCGGCTTTGTCGCCCATGCGGACGCGCTAATATAGTCAAATAATCATGAACAGACGTTCGCCATGGCATGACATAGAACATGCAATGCACGCATGGGGAGCTCCACGCAGTGAGTAATTGTTATTCCCCATATCCTTAGGATGGGTTTTGTATTGTTCTCCGACCGCGCGGGACCACCAATACTATGATGATGACCTGGTGACCATGGTATGGTGAGAGTACGATGTGAGTATGATTGTGATGATGAGTGACGGATGAGTATGATGACGATGAGGATGATAATGTCGATGAGCAAACGAGGGGGATGTCTCGATCGGCTTGCTGGTTTTAGCACTCCTAAGGGGGGGCCGCTAAAGGGGGGCCGCCAGGGGTGTTGCACGGCCTCCGTTCGCGCCCAAGTTGCGGGGATGTTTCGAGCGGTTTGCTTGTTTTGGTGCCCGACATGTTCCGCTTTCGGAGCAGATTTGGAGGATGTCTCGAGCAAGGCGCCTCCTGTTGGGGGGGCCGCCAGGGGGTATTGCACGGCCTCCGTTCGCGCCCAAATTGCGGGGATGTCTGAAGCGGTTTGCTTGTTTTGGTGCCCGGCACCCTCCGCTCCCAGAGCAGATTTGGAGGATGTCTCGAGCGAGGCGTTCATTTTCACCCTCCTGGTGGGCCAGATGTTGAGGATGTCTCGATCGGTTTTCTTGTCTCGGTGGCCAGATTCGTGGGCACAGATTCTCTTCAGGATGCCACTGGCGGCTCCAACAGGCTCCAGGAGCTCCAGGAGGCCACATGAGGCCCCAGGACGCACCAGAGGGCCACAGAAAGATTCAAAAGGCCACAGGATGTCCCAAGAGGCTCCAGGAGGCCCCAGGAAGCTCCAGGATGCCTCAGGAAGCCACAGGAGGCCCCACGATGCCACAGGAAGCGCCAGGAGGCCTCGGAAAGCAACACGAGGCCCCGAGAGGCCCCAGGAGCAGGAGGCCTCAGAAGGCAACAGGAGTGGCTCCAATCCCAAGTGTTTCAC